GCAGGAGCGGCGTCAGGTTTGTGGAACAGCAAAGAAGCCAGCCTGCTGGGGTGCAGTAAGCGAGGGGAGAGTGTTAGAGATGGAATCGCAGGGGCCTTGGAGCTGCTGCTGAGGATTTGGGCTTTTACTCTGAGCAAAATGAGGTCCACTGGGGAGGGCTGAGCAGAGGGGTGACATGGTCAGATGTATGCTTTAAAATGATCACCTGGCTCCTACATGGAGAATGGGATATGAGGCAGTGTTTGCTGCTAGAAGGCAAGCCCGCTGGTGCTGTTGGGAGTCGGCAGTGGTCTGAACCAGGGTGACGGTGGTGAAGGGCATGGGAGGTGGTTGGATGCCAAGTGTGTTTGGAAGGCGGAGAAGCCAGGATTTGTTGACAGGTTGGATGTGGGGCGTTATGCGCTGACTTGTGTTCCCCCACCCCTACGCCGCCGGATTCCCATGTTGAAATCCCAACCCCTGGTACCTCAGACTGTGACTGTATTTGGAGATAAGTTCTTTAAAGACATAGTTAAGTGAGTTTATGGAGTGGATTCTAATCCAATATGACTGGTATCCTCAAAGAAGAGGAAATTAGGACACAGATACACTCAGGTGAAGACTCAGAGAGAAGACAGCTGCCTATAAGCCAAGGAGAGAGGCCTCAGAAGAAACCAACCTTGTCTACCACCTCGATCTCGGACTTCTGGCCTCCAGAACTGTGAGAAGGTGAATTTCTGTTGTTGAAGCCACCAGTCTGTGGTATTTTGTGGTGGTGGACCCACATTCTAAGATGTCAGGCGTGAGAGAGAGAGGAGTCAGAGAGGATGCCCAGGGATGTGGCCTGTTTTAAGTCATGGTTAGAAAAGTTCTGGAGTTGGGCGTTTTCATTGCCATGTTCAGAAGTACCAAGAGAGGTTGTCCTACTGGGTTTTGCTACAAAGAGTTTTCCAGTCCAATGCACACCTCTAACATTGCCAGAAGACCGCAGGGAAAGAGTGAGACAAAAGAATCGGCCTCACACCAGTGTGTACACTTTGGGGTTCCAGCCCCATATGGAGATATGTAGCTCCTTTCCTGTTTTCCAGGAAGTCCTCCTTCCTTCCCTTCCAGAATTCCTTTTGGTCTAATTTTGCCTGCATTTCTCCTAGCCAGATGGATTTGGGTACAATTGAGGGATAGGGGTCATTGTCCTAGAAACAGACCAGTGCTCTGGGTCTCCACCTAGTGAAATTGCTGGAGTCCTGCCTCCAGGGTCTCTCTGTCTCATTGCTGGGGACCCAAGAAAGACTCATATGAGTGAGTGAACATGCCCTGCTGTTCACTGCTCTCAGCCCCTGGCCTGGCTGTCACCATGGTTTCTATCATCACTAAGTATGTCACCCCTATCTGGGAGTTGTGGTTCCCCTGCCCAGGACATTCTAATGGTCATCCTATGGAAGTGAGCAGGCCTGTCCAGCCTCCAGACATCAACAGGGCTGCCGTGGACTCTCCAGTTCCCATGTGCTTCCGGCTCTTCAGTGGAAAGGCTCCTTTTATGCATGAAAGCTCCTTCTCTCTAGGAATCTGGTCCGGGGCCCCTGGGAGCCTGCACTGGGAGACACTGGAATTTCACTGAACTGGCTGAGCTTCACTCGGTGTCAGCCCAGCCTCACTACACATCTGCCCACATCAAGCTTGTGCATCGTGGCTCTCTTTTCCCTTCTGGCTGTGCTCTGTCTTCATCGGGGACACTGACCACTGTTGCAGTTCGCTTGAGCCTGGTTAAGTGGATTTAAGGGTTTGATGACTTGGATCAAGGGTCAGCAAACTGTGACCAGCCTCTTATTTTTTTAAAGTTTTATTGGCACACGGCCATGCCCATTCATTCACATAGTGCTTGGCTGCTTTCACAGCATAACAGCAGGATAGAGTAGTTACTACAGAGACCATATGCCTGCAAAGCTGAAAATATTTACTGTCTGGCCCTTCACCTAAAGAATTTGCCAACCTCTGTGATAGATTTAGATCAGCTAACTCTCACAAAGTGGAGAAGAGGATCGAAAAGATGGCTATAAAAATAAGAAGGTAAGTAAATCCACAGTGGATTGACAATATTAATATTGCAGTGAAAGAAGACAACAAGAAGATGGCAGGACTGATATTCTCCCACCCATAGTACAAATTGCTTGTCAGATGGAATAATTATTCTCTAAACAGTTCTGTCAAGAAGTTGGTGGAGAGAGACAGAAAGAGAGAGAAGGGAAGGAGGCAGGGAAGAGGAGAGAGAAATGGATAGGTAGGCAGGTAGATAGGTGAATTATGGCTACAGGTTACATACTCAATTTAAAAAGTGCTGAGTTGCCTGTTTCCCCCTTTAATTATCCTTATTTTGCACTTTTTATGATCAAACACTGTTCCTAGGATGTTACTGAACCAAAGAACCAAATCTGAGTTGTTTTCAGTCAACAAGAAGCAAAGCCAATCTACTGACACCAGGTTGTGCAAAGAAAACTACAGCGTTGATTGCAAGGTGTCAAACAAGGAGAATGGGCATCTAATGCTCAAAAGACCTAAACTCCCTGACGGCTTTCATGGAAGGGAAAGGCAATGTTAGGGGTGAGGGTGGTGGGGTGCCCGATCAGCTCATGGAAAGTCTTCTGATTGGCTGGTGGTGAGGTAACAGGGTGGTATTTTGGAAGTCAACATCATCAGCCTTCTGGTACCAACCAGTCTGGGGTCTAAGTGCTGGTGGTCAGCATTCAGTGAATTTCTTCTGCCTGTGGGAGGTTTAGTATCTGCAAAACAACTCAATGATATGGCTCAGGATATTATCTACAGCCCTTGTGGAGGAACTAAAGTCTGTTTTATGGCTAAACTATTGTTATTTTGTCTTGCTTGAGTTCTATCTGTTTTTCCCTCATTTTCTCACTTCTCTGATTAAATTTGCTCTCTGGACTTGTGGGAGGCCAAGGATGCTAAAGCTTCTCTACAAACAAGAGGTGGGGAATATGAGGTGGGGGACTTGAGGCTGGCGGACGTGTCTGTCTCTGGGAAAGCCCACCAAGGTCCTGCTTGGTTTCAAGGGTTTCACATATGTTAACTCATTTAGTTCTCAAAACAGCCCTAAGATGCAGGTACCGTTGTAATTGTCCCCGTTTTGTAGATGTAGAAATAGAGGCACAGAGAGGTTAAGTAATCCATCCAAAGTTACACAGCTAGTAAGTGGTGGGCAGGCTTGAATCCAAGCAGTTTGACTCCAGAGTTTATGTTCTTAAACTCTATACTGCTTTTCTTGGTTATAAAAATAGAAACAAAACAAACCCAAAACTGTTCAGAGAGTGTGGCCTCAGTAGGCCGTAGCGCTTTGGGCATGATTTGACATCCCAGCTACCAAGTCTTACCCCAAACTCTGGTGCATGGTGAAAGAATCTGGAGACTACTCCTTTAAAAAAGCTTTGAGTTTTTAAACTTTGAGACACATGCTCAGGATGAATCCATTAGAAAGTAGCAGTGAAATAGTTTCTCAGACCCAGAGGTCCGTCTGGGCATCTTCTGAGTTGGGAGCCACTGGTTAGGTGCCACAGCTCTGATCACCCAGGACAGCTCTCCTCTGCTGAAAGCCTGGCCTCCTAGGGGAGGCTGAGGGACTCTGGCTTGGCTCTCAATGGAGAGTTGTCGTCCTGGCCCATCTACCCATCTTGGGCAGACATCAGTTTTTTCATCTGTAAAATGAAGGCGGTCAGTTAGATGGATTCTGTGAGCTTTTTAAGGATTAAAAATATTCTGATTCTAAATTTAATGAAATTGAGAAAATATTCATGCCATGTTAATTTGTGGGGGAAAATATCCTTTACAAAATATTATGTTTGACTTTCGCAATTTTTGTTTTAAAAACATACATGTAACAGAATTTGTCCTCTTCACTCCTTCACCCTCCCTGCTTTTCCCCTGTTCTGCTACTGGGGAGAGGGCCTTTTTGCAAAAGAATTCACTAGGATTCTCTGTCAGCCAAGCACTGGGGTGGGAGGGTATAACTCAGTAGGAGAGCGCATGCTTAGCATGCCCGGGGTCCTAGATTCAATCCCCATTACCTTCATTAACAAATAAAATTTAGGATGTTTTGAGGTGGGGATAAAGCTCAGTGGTAGAGAGCATGTTTGGCATGCAGGAGATCCTGGACTCAACCCTTAGTGCCTTCGTTAAGGGTTGGAGGAAGGCAAGAGCTCTGTTCCAAAGAGTGGAAGCACGGCCATCCTCCTCCAGGGATGGAGCCAGGGATGCCTTCCAGGAGGATTGACCCCAATGGGTAAAGTGTTCTCAGCATCTTCAGCCAAAAAAGGATTGAGCAGGGACTCTGAGGGGAGGGAGAGGGGTAGAAAAGAATGGGAGGCCATTCAAGGGAGATCCTGTGTGAACTACAATGCAACCCCTTGAGAACAGGAAAGGAGTATTTAGAAGCATCATGTGCATTTCTTTGTGCTCATAATCTGCATGGAGTAAGGCAGAATTTTGCTACTGCTTGATGTCCTTCCAGATCTCACAGGACATGACAGCACAGTGCCATGAGCGTTTAAAAAAGATGCTCTATCTCTGCCTGGTTGGATTCTTCTCCTTTCTTTTCCTTCATTGTGCTTTTCTATACTTTCTAATCATTCTACACTAGACATGTATTGCTTATATAATAAAAACGGTGTTTAAAAATATTAAGATCTTACAGAATGTCTCTGATATCCTAATATTATATTTTGGAAATAGATGAGTCCTTCAGAATTGGTCCACGGAGGAGGATTTGGCTCCTAGCGACTCTGAAATGGCTGGAACACTTAATTGTGGCAAGGAGTGCTGCTTCTCAAAGGGTACAGATGCTAGAAAGGTTGTTGTGCTCTCTAGGAATTCTCTGAATTGTGGGTCCCTTTTTCTGGACAGAGTATACTGCCCTCACATGGTGATATCACACAAACTATGGTGAAATGCTATTCAGAATTTCTACCCAAGAGCAGGGAAAAGGCAGCTACTACAACGAACAGCATGAACTTCCCAACTTAAATGGTTTCATGCTCTGTGAACCTGAGTTAATATGCCAACAGATATGACTAATCCTAAATTAATGGGCGCTCAGGAAAGTGGGAGTTTCCAAACTCCCGGACGGCTGACGTTTATTCAGATTATTTTCGCTGTCTGAACCTACATTTTAGAAAATCAGTCTAAAGCATATCTGCCTGCTTTTTTTTTTTCTGCCAGCTTTTTAGCCATATTGAACTCTAAAATGGTGAATTCAACAGATTTGTCCTTCCATTAGTATCCTGCAGGCTACAGGACCACTATGTTACAGGTCTCTCTCTCTTTTTGGGTATGGTTTGGAGCTAAGGGAAAGGTAGTGGTTGGGTAAGAGTAGGTCCCCTAGGAAAACACCTAGTGGTTGTCTTTAAAATGAATTTGCTTTCTAGTCATTAATATCTTTGCTATAAAAAAACAGAATTGCACCCCCCTAAAGTATTGGTTTAATTTCGTTTGTGTTAACACTGATAGGTGAGTATCAGCTGTTATCATTTAAAAAAAAAACCTCCAAGTGACCAATTGAATGAACTGAGTTAATGAAAAGCCATCAGACTACCAAAGGTGACCACTTTCAAGGCCACTTTCAAGCAGCAGCTACAGTAGTGAACATCATGCATTCGCTGAGCTCCTATTCCAGGGGCTGCTCTCTGTGATGTGAGGCATTGAGGACACATAAGGGAGAGAGGCTCTCACTACGAGGAAGTCAGCACTGAGCAGGCATCAAGTGCTGTGTGGGTGGAGGACGACGAGGAGGAGGAGAGGCTGTGGTGAGCACATTGGGCTGGGGCGGGTGGCCTGGATTCTGTCTCTGGCCAAGTGCTGCTGGAAGCAAGCCACTCACATCTCCAGACATCAGTTTCCTCATGTGAAAATGAGGCATTCACTCAATTTTAAAAGGCCCCTCAGCTTCTGAGATTCCAGAGCGGATGGTTTTTTTGGAAGAGGGAGGGCTGAGTGTGGGCACCAGGAACTGTGTCATTTGATGGGTGAGTCAGACGAAGGGCATTAGGAAAATAACATCTTCGCAATCAACACAAGGGCATAGGCAATTAAGAAACCCGTAGCTGACAGCTTGAGTGTCTATTCCATTCGTAGGATGTATTCCCGAAGAGGGGCTGGTGACTCATCAGGTGGCTGTAACCTGATGAAGTAGAGCTATCCAATTCCCTTGCAGTGACTCCAGGCAACCGAATGATCTTAATTTGGTTTTCTAAGGCAGTTCCCCCACCTCCCCCCCGCCCCAGGCAAGAGGAGAAGCAGGCTATGGCAATTGGAAATTGACATTCTTTTGTGTGAGCAATATTAGATCACATATGAGAAATGGCTGAAATTATACAAAGTAGCATTTTCAAATGTAAAAGGATAACATCTTAGTAATATCACCATTAGTTATGAATCATTTTTGTGCTGATTTGGTGAGCCCTTGAGCCTTTGCTTTCCCCTAGAGCTAGTAAACCCTAAGTGACTTGGTGAGTACAGAATTCTGCATCTGCAAAGCTAATCAGAGGTGAAAATTACTAACATTTACATAGTGCTTTACAATCTGCAAAGTGCTTCGTGATACCAGTAGCTCTTGGAGAGAGGGAATATTATTTTCCTGGTCTCTAGTTCAGGGAAGCTCAGGATTATAAAGCAAAGAAGTGTTTGGGTTGGCTGTGAGACCTAGGTCTTCCACTCCTAATCCAAGTCACAGTGCTGCTGTTGCTTCTGAAGGGAGTGTTTGCTCTTCTCCCATCCAGTGCTCCCCAGCCCCCAATACACACACACATAGACTCACACATATTACTGTACAAGATCCGAGCCCGGTGGGACAGCTGAAGGAGTGATGAGAAACAGAAGGCAGAGAAGAAACCCAAATGCCAACCTATTCTGGAGATCATGGAACTACTTCTCTTTCCTTTTATCAAATGCCACTCAAAGAGCATAGGGCCTTTCCAGACAGCTATCTCATGGCTGGGTCGGTTCAACTTTCCTTAGTCCACGGACTCAGGCTGAATCTTCTTGTTGCAGGTGCAAAAAGTGCCCATTCTGCTTAGGCAGAATCTCAGGGGTGTCCAGCTCCTACCTCTCTTCCCTTGAAAGGCTGGTCTGGATATTTCTGCTGAAGGTAACTAGGGATCCTCAACTGGGACAGTCCCCACAGAGCAGCACTGCCTGACCTAACCCATGGGGGCTCCTGGTATCTCAGCTGCTGGAGCTGCCGGTCTCAGATTACGGGGGAGGGATCTCAGGACCTCAGCCCTTTGTGTGCTGCAAGCCATCTGCTGTGCAGGGACAGCAGCGGAGTGGGATCTTTGTGCCCAGTCCCTTCCCATTCACGGAAGGAAGTGGAAGGCTGCACTGCCTGGCTGGGGATTCACAGAGGCTTAGGGAAAAGATGAACTGGCCCCATTCCTGCATCTCTTTTTGCTGGATTTACTTTGCTGCCTCAAGACTGAGAGGTAAGAGGCTGGTAAGTGTGTAACTATCCTGACTCATCTGGGGCACTTCTTTGGTGGGATGTGGGATGAATCAGGAAACAGAACAAATGCTCTAATTGCTAGGGAGTAATCCAACTTCTTCCCAACTCATGCTAATTCCATAGGGCATGCCAGAAAAATAACTCCCATCGATCGACCCAGAGCTTGTCTCTGATGCTGGGTCGTCTCCAAGGCTAGTCCTCAGTCTTTGCCTTGAAATACATGACACTGAAGTCTGATCCAGGTCCCTCTTTTCAAGCAGCCGTAGAAACAGCAGATGGAAAATATGCTCAGAGACTGTTTAATGACCTTTTTGAAGATTATTCCAACGCTCTTCGTCCAGTAGAGGATACAGATAAAGTCCTGAATGTCACGCTCCAGATTACACTTTCTCAGATCAAGGATATGGTGAGTAGCATATAGCAGTGACTCTTTGGAGTGCTGTTTAGAATGAAACTAACAGTGCTTTCCAAAGGGAATGTCTTAAACTGGGAATTTGAGAGGAAATGAGAACAGGCAGCTCTGTGGACAAGCTGGTGGGAAAAGGAAATTCCAGGGGAAGAAAGCTTTCTACAAAATTAATTTCACTAAGCGTGACTTAATCCTGGCCATTAACATTCACATCTAAAGCAAGATGGTTTTGTGTTCTGTTTATGTGTTCCATTATGTGTTCCGTTTCTACAAAATTTGCAAAATTAGCAGCACCATAGAGACAGAAAGCAGAGTAGTGGTTGTCAGGCGCTGTGGGAATGACAGAGGAATGATGATTGACTGCTTGATGGTCATAGGGTTTCTTTTTGGGGGTGATGAAATGTTCTGGAATTAGAGAGTGGCATTGGTTGCATGACATTGTAAATAAACTAGAAGCTGCTGAATTGTATACTTTAAAATGGTTAAAATGGTGAGTTTCATGTCATGTGAATTTTTATCCCAATTTTTTAAAAAAGGTGGTGTTTTAAAATGACAGACCTTACTTAGTGTCTATATTTTAACTACACAAAGTTATGAAACTTGAAAGGCTTTTCTTCTGTACCTTGTTGATGTTTCCTGACTTTTTCATTCAAATGAATCATCAGTTGATCAATATTCAGAGAAATTTAAGCCGGTGATCCATGCAAAGAGCTGATGATTTAAATATTTGTCCAGTTTACATTCCAAACACTAAATCAAGCAAAAAAAAAATATATGGCTTTGGCAGTCCATCGAGGACGGGTAGACTGGAAAACTCTGACTCACGTTTTGGAAATCAATGAGTGCTCCTGGAAATCCTGTTTTGAAGACAAGTGTTGTAGAAACGAAGGGCATTCAGTTGAGGTGTCTCCAGGACAAAGTTACATCTGGGTTTATTTTGCAGGATGAAAGAAATCAAATTCTGACGGCCTATTTATGGATCCGCCAAATCTGGCACGACGCATATCTCACGTGGGATCGAGACCAGTATGATGGGCTGGACTCCATCAGGATCCCCAGCGACCTGGTGTGGAGGCCGGATATTGTCCTGTATAACAAGTAAGTGCAAGTCAGCAGTTTCTCAGGAGTGAACTTGTTGAGTTAATAGAAGGGAAACATAATGAATAAAAGCGTGAATGTTTTAAACACGCATGAATTTTAGTCAGTTCATGTTCCTAAGCCCTGAAGTGATGATCATAAAGCTTCAGATGATAAAAATAGGTCATAAAATCTTAGAGTCACAGTCCCCTTTTCAGGTGAGAAACTGTATGGGAAGCTGTGTTAGTTTGCTGGGGCTACTGTGACAAAGTACCGCAAACTGCGTGGCTGAAACAACAGAAATGTGTCATCTCCCAGTTCTAGATGCTGGATGTGCAAGATCAAGGGATTGGCAAAGCTGGTTCTGTCTGAGGGCTGCAAGGAAGACTCTATTCCATATCTCTCCTCTGGCTTATCTGGTGGTTGCTGGCAGCCTTGGTTCCTCGACTGTAGAAGCGTCACCCTAGTCTCCTCCTCCTTCTTCACATGGCGTTCTCCCTGTGTGTTTTCTGTATCTGTATTTTCCCTCATGTGAGGGCACCAGTCATGTTGAATTAGGTGCCCACCCTACATCAGTATAACCTCTTCTTAACTAATTACATCTGCAATGACCTATTCCAAATAAGGTCACATTGTGAAGTGCCAGGAGCTAGGATTTCAACATATGAATTTTTCACAGACACAGTTCAACCCGTAACAGTGATGCTCCTTTGTCTAAGGTCGTGTATCAATAATACATGATACTACTAAGATTAAATCAGAATGGGCCAGCTAGAAGCTGGCCTATGGGTTTTGGACTTTGTATGGAGTGGAAGGTGAACTAGACCATAAGATCACCAGATGGCCTTTTCTCGATCTGAGAGCAAGGGGCCTGGGTGAATGGGTAGGTAAGGTTTAAGTTTCTCAAATTGTAACGTGTGCGTAAACCACCTGAAGAACTTGTTAAAATGCAGATGCTGATTCATTAGGTCTGGGGGTGAGTCGGATGCTCTGCAGTTCTACGAGCTCCAGACAGTAGTGCTGCTGGCGCGTGGGCCGCACTTTGAGAAGGAAGCAGATTGCTCTGTCACAGCTGAGGCTCAGTTGCCCCACCTGTTGTCAAAGGGGCTCCTCTCTCTTTTCACTCTGAAACACAAGTTTCTGAGAGTCAGGAAAGGTTCCCCTTTGACTCAGAGCAAGATGAATGAGAGGTGGCTCAGGGTGACTCTGCTGGGAGCTTAGCCTTCTGCTGGGCATGGATTTCCCTTCAGGAAGCAGCACTGGTAGGCTGCAGTCTGGATTTCAGTCTCAGTCCTTTTTCAGAGAGCTGGCCCAGGGATCATGACCTCTTGAATCATAGCCCTGATCCCGCTGACCATTCCCCATAGAACCTTTTCACCACACTGAGTAATCAACTCTTCTCTGTTCCTCTGGGTTGATTCTCTAGTCTTCTTTGCCTTCCAATTGCAGACAGTTTTGTTTTGGATCTTCTGGTCCCCAGGTCTCCACGGAAGGTAGGATGGGTGAGTGATGTTCCAGTTCTCACTTCTCATATAACTAACTGTATATACTTCTCTTTGTTACAGAGGTCATGTTCAGGCATTCAAAAAATTCACTTTGTTGTCTTCACAAGACCTACATTAAAGATCCTCTCTCTAAACGTCCATTAAAAACTGAGCACCGTAATTCAACTGTAATGGTCTGATTACAGTGGTCCCAATCAGACCATTATGGTTAACATTGTGGTACCTAAATTTTAATAACATGCCAGTTCTTTGATCTACCACACCCTATTCTAGCAATTTAACCTAAGGAAAGAGTCAATGGATAAATGCAACAATTTGACCACAAGGATGTTCACTACTACATTGCTTATAAATGCAGAAACTGGAAACAACCATAATGTTGAACATCAGTGAACTGGTTAAATAATTATGGCATATCTCTATAATGGAATATAGTTGAATACCATTTAGTCTTAAAAATAATGTTGCAGAAGAATATGAACAGATGACTACATACATTTTAAAATTTTGTCTCAACTTTTTTTTGTAAATTAACTTTTTATTTGGAGATAATTTTAGTTTTGTAGAAAAGATACAAAGATGGCACAGAGTTTCTATATACTCTTCACCCAGTTTCCTGTAATGTTACATCTTATATGACCATAGTACACTTGTCAAAACTAATATAATACTATTAACTACACTACAGACTTTATTTGGATTTCAGCAGCTTTTTTCACTAATGTATTTTTCTGTTCCAGGATCTAATCCTGCATACCACATTATGTTTAGCCATAATATATTTTGTAGGGAAAAAGTTGTAAGGAAGACTTGGAAAAATATGCACTAAAATGTTAACAGCATATCAGTTATGACTGTAAGCATTGGAAACTGACTTTGTCTAACTTGTGAATAAAAGGAATATGTTGGAAGTACATGGTACAGCTAACTGAATTAAAGGGAAAAAAAGGTCAATGACCAGACCTTGGAAAGGACAGATTGGGACCACTCTATAGTTCAAGACAGCAGGGACTATTGATCTTTTAAAAAATTAATTGATTTTTATAGGAAGCCATCACCAGGGCGACTCTTTTTGGTCTTTGGATTCCTCTGCTTAAGATCTAAATTCCAGAGAGAGTGAAGCAGCTGGATCTAACTTGGGTCCCACATCCAGGCCTTGGCTTCATCTGCCTTCATGATGGTGGAGAATGAGTCATTCCTTAAAGCAAAACAGCAATTCTGTACTCCCCAAATACCAGGCATAAATGTTGATAAAGCAAAAGGAAGATATATCTAGAATAAATTGTTATCTCTTAGATTACGGGTGAATAAATTTTCTCTGTGTTTTTCAAATGTTCTGCAGTAAGCACGTACATATCTTCCAACAGCAACAAAAAGCTACTTTGTTATTCTTGTGCCAAAAGTTAACAAAATCAGGTAAGCAGAGCCTCCCTGTCAGATTTTAGCCTCATTTATTTTTTGGCTGGATGTTGGAATCGTTATACTTGGACCAGGAGAGTGGCACTGGGAGTGGAGAGGAAGGGACACGGAGCAGAGATGCTTTAAAGGAAGAATCAAAATGAACTCGGCCCTGACTAGTTACAGGAGATGAGGAAGAAGGGCAAAATTAGAGTGGATTCCAGATTTTCAAGCCGTGGTGACAGGAATGGTGATCCATTGCCAAAGACAGTGCAGTGATGGGCATAGGGCAGTGAGCTGTCTACGGTAAGGAACTCAGTGAGTTGTCCTGGCAAACAGCTTTCACTTTCTTCCTCTGACCTTCAGGGCTGATGATGAATCTTCCGAGCCTGTGAACACCAATGTGGTCCTGCGATATGACGGGCTGATCACCTGGGATTCACCGGCCATCACCAAAAGCTCCTGTGTGGTAGATGTCACCTACTTCCCCTTTGATAATCAGCAGTGCAACCTGACCTTTGGTTCCTGGACCTACAATGGCAATCAGGTAGACATATTCAATGCCCTGGATAGTGGAGACCTCTCCGACTTCATCGAAGATGTGGAGTGGGAGGTCCATGGCATGCCTGCTGTGAAGAATGTGATCTCCTACGGCTGCTGCTCTGAGCCTTACCCAGATGTGACATTCACTCTCCTTCTGAAGAGGAGGTCCTCCTTCTACATCGTCAACCTCCTCATCCCATGCGTCCTCATATCTTTTCTGGCTCCCTTGAGTTTTTATCTCCCAGCAGCCTCTGGGGAGAAGGTCTCCCTGGGAGTGACCATACTGTTGGCCATGACCGTATTTCAGCTCATGGTGGCAGAGATCATGCCAGCCTCGGAGAATGTCCCTCTGATAGGTGAGTTCAAGTGTCTTACACTTTGAGCCTAGCTTTGTAGTGACTGGGGTTGTATCTGTGCCTCTAAACTCATAACAATTAGGAAAACAATTAGGTCAACCTCAAACTCAACATGGGCTGTCACAGCCTTCATTTAGTGTCCTCAGTTGGCATCTTTGAATACAGATGTGGCTGTTGGAGACAAAACTGGTCTCGTGGTCTCCAGGTTTACACAAAAGAGGAACGCCAGCAATAGAGTTTAGAGCAGTGGTTCTCAAAGTGTGGTCCCTGGACCCACAGCAACTGCATCATTTTAGAAATACAAATTCTCAGGGCCCACCCTAGACCTACTGAATTGGAAACTCTGAGGGTGAGGTCTGGCCAACTGTTTTAACAAGCTTTCTGGGTGATTTTGATACACTTTTTGTTTAAGTCTAAAAACTACTGGCTTGTAAGTTAAGGCCCTGATTTGGAAGTCCAAGACGTCTGCATCTGAACTCTGACTTCACCACTCATTCCTTGATCAACCTTAAGCAAGTTGCTTCATCAACTGCAAATTCTGTGTAATTGCTGCCTCATCATGCCAGCGCTTGGCACGGAGCCTGGCATGTGAGCACCCAGCAAACAGTGACCATTAGTATCTTTTCACATCACAAGGGATTTCTTCTTGGGAAGAATAGTAAACATGATAGAAACGATGAACTGGATTTCTAAGCCTTCCATCCACCCTTAACAGGGTAATTCTCAACCTTTACTGGGAATAATAGCTGTGGGAGAGCTTGTTAAAAATGCAGGTTTCTACACCCAAAGAGGTTTTTTTTTCTTTTTTTAGGAATCTTGAGCAAGATTTGGGAACCTGAGGTGATTCTAAAGAAGACCACATTTTCAAAAATCTGCAATAATAAATTGTCCTTCTAAGGGTAGGAGTGTAGACTGTGGCTACCATCCCTCCCTCCTTTCCTTTACCTACCTCATTCTGAGATCCCTCCTAACACATTTAATACCTACTTCCTGCCACCAAGGGTAACACTAGATCCAACACCTCTATCTCAGTGACTTGCTATTGTAATAGATACTTACCAGGATCAGAAGCTAGACCTTAACTTTTGGTTCTTTAAAGTAAGCAATGAGGAGAAATTTCAGAACACCAAAGGACTTGGAGACAAATATAAAAGGGATTTTACACTGCCTTTTTACCCTCTACTGAATCTAGTATTATGCAATATTCAGCCTTTATTACTACATTGGTTGCTATGTCTCTCCAAGCAAGCCCCTCACACACACACACACACACACACACACACACACACACACACACACTCTCTCTCTCTCTCATTTTTGAAAAATAGACAGAGAAGGTTCTCTCCTTTCTCACCACCACTAAAAAAGAGGAAGAGGTGTATTAGCACTTTTATTACCTCTCCTAAGGCAGAAATGATAGACAGTGATGACATCCAATCATAACCATATTTGAGGCAGGATCAACTGGCAGGTGCCTCTCTCTTCTTGAGCAGTGACATTCAAAAGCAAGCTGGCTCAGTTTCTGAAGACAGATGTCTCAGGACATGTCTCAAGAATTTTATAAGCATTACGTTTTTCTGTGATAATATGAACTGTATGTTTTTAGGAAGGGTGCACATAGATCTTGAGACTATTAATTCATAATCACAATTTGTTATTTGTATCACTTATGAAATGTACTTCCAATCTCATAGAAATGTGTTTAACTTTTTTGTATTGTGTAGCATTTGATCCTGACTTTTGACCCATAGCCTTTACAATGTTAAGAAAGATTCCCTTTATTTTTGGATTACTCAGAGCTTTCAACAAATAGTAAACAGATGGTGAACAATATCAAATGCATTGTCTTTATCTGTTAAGATAAATGAGTTTTTTCTTTTATTCCATTAATGTAGTGAATTACACTACTGTTTTCTGATGTTGAACCAAACTGTTCTTCATCATGATGAATTATCAGTTAAAGACAGGATTTAATTAGCCAGTAATTTATATAGGATTTTCTCAAATGTGTCTATAAGTGAAATGGCCTTAATACTTCCTTTCTTATTACTTTTGAAATCAAGGTTACATTTTCTTCATAAGATGAGCTAGGCATTTTTCCCTCTTTTCTATTTCTGAAACAACCTGCAGAAGATATGAGTTATCTGTTT